TGTGTGTGTGTGTGTGTGTTTGTGGTGTGTGTGAGTGTGTGTGTGGTGTGTGGTGTGTGTGTGTGTGTGTGTGTGGTGTGTTGTGTGTGTGCTGTGTGGTGTGTGTGTGTGTGTGTGTTGTGTGTGTTTGTGTGTGTGTGTGTGTGTGTGTGTAAGTGTGTGTGTGTTGTGTGTGTGCATATACGTTTAAGCATATACTCATATAGTGCCAAACACACGTATGTGAATATACAAATATACACACAAACGGACGCGCAAGCATTAACACACACTTATACATACATATACAGACGCGCAGACGTACAGTCTTGTACACACGAAAAGGGGCAAAAATGCAACACGAACCTTACTTCTAACCTGAAACATAATAAACACATTTTGAGAAGCGCAGACAACACATCACTCACTTATTCTCGCAAAACACACATATATTTCAGTGACTTTGAGAATATCTATCTAATCTTTCACATGGTTCTTTAACAACATAAAAGTCGGATCTTTTATTTTTGTACTTCCTCTCGTGGGAAATTTTCTTTTTTATGTAAACAAAAAAGTTCGCGTTTTTTCCTCGTCGGATCAGCAGTGCATGATGGCCGTCAGCGATACGTGGGTTATTGCATTTTTAGATACACTGCATCTTATGCATCTTTCTACTCCTTGCATTAAATTAATAAAGGTTATACAATAAAGTCGGCAAGTGATAATGCAGACGAACGCACGGAGTTGCAGGTGGTACGTGCAAAGTTGTCGTACATGAAGTTGCATTTTTTCTTTATTTAACCCTGGTGTCTCTGTGATGCGATGACGTCACATCCGGCACCCGAGGCTCGAACATTCATCATCTTTATTTTGGATAACAAAAAAAAACTTCTTCGTTAAATAGTACATGCATGCATGCTCTCACAAGTACATAAAGATAGACTCAAAAAATATCCACACGTACACATGTATATTCTCAAAATTATACATACATATAAATCAAGAATGTATTGTTTGAATGTATACGCCTCTGTAGATATTTTTGCAGTATATGTATGTGTGCTTGTGAGAGTTTGCATGATGTACGCATTTAAGTGTCGAGGATAGTAGGATACGGTCGTAGCGCGTCGGGCGCAGCGATATCATATACAACATGTCCGCAGCCCTTCCACTTGCACGTGTACGGCTTCTCGCCCGTGTGCGTGCGCAGGTGCGCCTTCAGGTGCGACGACTTGGTGTACGTCTTGTTGCACGACGGCTGCGGGCAATTGTGGATGATGACACGGCGCGGGGCACGGCGGCGGCGTGGGCGCGCGGGCGGCGGGGCGCTGGAGGCGGACACGGCGGGCGGGCACAGCACGGGCGCCGCCACGACGCCGGGCGCGTGCGGCGACGAGGGCGGCGTCAGGACCACCCCCGCACCGCCCCAGTACTGGTACATGCTGCCGAAGGGCGTGTTGGAGGGTGCAGCGGTGTGGGTAAGGTGGGGGGCGGCCGTCTGGACGGTGTGGGAAGGGTGGGCGGCGTGGGCGGCCGTGTGAGTGGCGAGGGAGGTGGTGTGGGTGGTGTAGGCCGAGGACATGGCCGCCGGGTGCGGGTGGGTCGGGTAGTACTGCCCGTACCCGGGGAAGGCGGTCGGCGCCGAGCTCGTCGGGCACATGTACTGCTGCTGCGACTGCTGCTGCTGCAGATGCTGATGCTGCTGGAGCTGCTGTTGTTGCTGCTGCTGTTGAAGCTGTTGCTGCTGCGGCTGGGCGTGGGGTAGCTGGTACAGCTGGTGGCGCTGCTGTGAGGGCTGCGGCTGCTGTGGCACGACTTGCTCGAACTCGCGCTTCACGCCCCCGAAGATGGCGCTCATGGGCGGCAGGGATGTCACGACGCTCTTCTGCGGCGAGCACAGGCTGGCGAAGTCCAGCGACTGCACGGAAGCGTCGCAATCAGCGGTGGGCGGCGTGGGCGGGTAAGAAAGGGCGGGCGAGGTGCAGGGGGCGGCGGAGGGGCTTCCGCAAGCGGCCAGGGGGAGCGGCTGAGGCGCGGTGTCGTGGACGCCGAAGAGGTCCTCGCGAGTCTCGTCCAGCAGCACAGACTCGAGGTCGAGCCACATCTGGGGAAGGAAGGCGAGGTCAGTCACGGCGCGAGAGCAGACAACACAAGAGCAAAGGCATGGAGACAAATAATTTCCGATTGATACGGAAACATTTCTCAAAGCAAAATCAAGATCCCCCCCCCCTAAGAACCATTAAACTGGTATGGAGAATTCACATTTCACAAAATCAGTAACGATCACAAATCGGCTGTTTCAGGTCATGGCGAAAGAACCAGTCATTGTGCTTACCTCGTTAAAGTCCGAGAGGCTCGAAGAAGCAGTGGGAAGTTGACTGTAATGAGCGGGTCGCTCCGTTGCTAACTCCATCCTAGTGAGTGAACAGTCTATTTGCCGTCACTGACAGGATGTCCTTGCGAAGGATTCACGGAACACGAACGCTTGAGCTGGTTTAGGGTACGTCCTTTTGGGAGCGAG